GTACCCTATCAGACGTACATAGACGAGGGTCGGCTCCCGGACGAGTGTACACGAGACCGACATCTCTGGATGTACAAGGGGTGGATCTTCTGCTGGAACATCGCAGAACCCCACCAGCCTGATAGGGTGCTCCGCCAGTTTCGGTGCCACCAGCCCATCCCCCAGACGCCGATCATTACTAGTCTGGCCGACTGGGACACCCGCCACAAAGGTCAGGACATGACTGGGAGGGCATATACCGATTGGCGGGCTTTCCATGCTGATCTTGGGAGGATCTGGACGGAAGAGAGAGATCAGAACGTCCTCCCAGATGTCCCGGTGGATCCCTTCCTGCAACCGGCAGAGGGGTACATTGATTGGTATCACAGTAGGACTGTGAGACTATTCAATGACCCTAACAACTACTCGGCGATCTCACAGGACGGCGGGTTTCAGCCATATGCCGACCGGGAGAAGTGTCAAGTAAGAGTCTGCTAATTTGTGATTATTATTATTATTATTATTATTATTATTATTATTGAAGTAATTATTATTATTATTATTATTATTTTTAATATTTGGTAGTTATTTGAATTTTATTTTGCAGAATTCGGGTACGGAGGGGGCGTATAACATGCTATCGAACATTGAAGACATTGATACGCTACCTCCCCGAACGCAGTCACAGTTCCAGCAAGTCCAGGAACTTCTGTACGGGGGTCAGTCGGTCACACAAGGGGCGTCGTCGAAGCAAATTCTATCTCAAGAGGAGTACGCCCCACCCCAGCAGACACAGTCCCAGCGGGCGAAGCATAGACCGGCGCCCCACATTGGTGGAGGGAGAAAACGCCGTGACCGCGAACCTGCCACTGCCAATGAAGAAGACGAAGAAGGTGAGATTTTTGTATTTAACTACAAATATATATTTTATTTTTGTTTGTTTTTATTTATTTGTCCGGTCGAATTACTGATTTTTTACAAAAAATAATTAATTAGGTGAAGAAGAAGAAGAAGAACTAGCCACGCCTGGACCGACCGCAGCATCGTCTTCTTCGGTACCACGGCCTCGGAGAGGGTCCCGAATACGCAGGCCTAAGAATGCATATACTCCTAGTTAGTTTGTGTTGTATTCTGTGATTTTGTGGACATTTTTTTTCTTTTATTTTTTGTACTGGATTTTCAGATATTTATTCTTAATGGTTTTGTGTACATATTTTGTGGTTTTTTTTTTGTCGGTAATTGTGGTTGTCTTTTTGTATATAGTATTTCATGTATGTATGCATGCTAGATTTTATCATTTGACAAATGAATTGATATTAAAGTGATATTATTTCGTGTTCAAAATGTTAGATCAAAATTTATAAAAAATCTTCATATTGAAGGATAAGAATAAAAATTCAGCCAAAATAAACGCGATCGCTGGTAAACGAGTTCGTGAGCATCTAAGAGCCGAGCCTAACTTAAAAAGAAATTTTTTAAAAAATAAAATAAAATAAATACATAAAAACGGATTCTTTGAATCCGTTTTTATAACAAAAAAATAAATAAATAAATAAACACGGATTATGAAAATCCGTGTTAATGGGTAAAACGGATTATCACAATCCATGTTAGTTAACACAAATTTTAATAACATATTTTTTACTGAATTAATTAAGGATAATTACGTCATTTAGGAAAAACGGATTCTCAAAATCCGTTTTTCGTTCGGAATTAACGAAAAACGGATTCTCAAAAATCCGTTTTTTTGCCACATATTTTTTTTTTTAAATAAATAAATGATTCCCATAATGAACGTTTGATTATTGCTTACATCGTTTTTAAGTCGTTTCTTGCATGCTCGCATGCCATCATATACACACCAAAATGTGCTCAATTTTTTCAACAATTTTGCCAGCAAGCTAAATTAGATAGTACCTAATCATTGATGTATCAAAAGTCCAATGAACGTTGAAATGCGCATTTATATTATTACAAATCTCAACAACTCTTAAAAGATCAACATATCTCAATCTCAAATAGACTAAATATATCAATTTTGTAAAATTCTTTACAATATTAAATGAATACTTCGAAAATTTTAAAAGTTTTTCAAAATTAAAATTAAGTACACCAAAATTTATGAAATATTAATTTTTTTTTTTAAATCTCAAATCACGTTGGACCACATTTGGTAACTAAATATTAGTACATTAATTGGACCACTACATTATAAAACCAACATATATCACATTCATCTGTGCCCATATATGTTGACATCAACCTTAATGTGGGCGGTGGACTTATTGTCCACTCTATACATTGAGTCTATAACTATAACTCTGCTACGAAACTAGTGATATAATTGAAAAAATAAATTAAAAACTACGAATACATATGAAAAATACTAATAATTTGAAAATTAGAATATAAGAAAGAAATTGATGAAGCACAACTCTACGTATCTCGCACTCACGCATATGCATCGTGTGCGTGTACCAATGTAAAATTGGACACGAAACTCTACTTATTAATATAAAAAAATAATAATAATAATTCTACCATCCAATAAGTATCATGTTCCACATTAGTCAGATGACACCATAACAGGGTAATAAGTATTATTTTCCTCTGAACCAAAACAAATAGTCCTTGATGGGCGCTGCGATTTTCACCAACTACACACGAACTTCTTTCCTTTTTGGTTTCTATACCTCATAATTTTTTCATTACGAAATCTCTTAAATCCAATCTGGGCCCGTCTTAATTTCCGCCATTGATGTTTTTCACGAGCATTCACTTCTCATGACCCGGAAGAAAATGAATCCCAGCAAATAAATTCCAGCATCAAAAAAACTGACACACCAGGTGTTTGCGTAAATTCCTCAATGGATCCCACGAGTAAGTCCCAATCCCCTATCAAAAGCCCGCCTTTAGGCCCGAACCACACTCACTCCTCACACGCTAGCTTCCCCATCATAGCCATAGCCATCATCGGCATTCTAGCCACTGCCTTCTTACTCATCGGCTACTACATTTTCGTGATCAAGTGTTGTCTGAGCTGGCACCGTATAGACATTTTAAGGCGCTTCTCATTCTCCACTAGGCGCCAGCTGGCAGAGGACCCGCTGGCCGCCTTTCATTCTCCAGCCCAGCAAAGAGGGCTCGATGAAGCCGCTATTCGGTCAATTCCGATTTTCAACTTCAAGAGACTGAAAAACGAGCTAAAAGACGAGTCCTTTGTAAAAATGCAGTCTTTTGAATGCGCCGTGTGTTTGAACGAATTCCAAGAAGAAGAAAAGCTCAGAGTCATTCCAAACTGTGCCCATGTTTTTCACATAGACTGTATCGATGTTTGGCTTCAGAACAATGCAAACTGCCCGCTTTGCAGAACGAGTGTCTCGTCAAACGTGCATTTGCAGTTGGCGAATCGAGTGATTATTCCGATCCCGTCTGAAGATTATGTGGTGATCGAGATTGGGCCCGAAGAGGATTGGGTCGGCCCATCAGTATCGGGAATTCAAGAAAATTCGAACCCGGATGAGTTTTTTTTTGCGGCCAACATTTCAAGAAAGAAGGCTAAAAATTTTTCGAGCATGGGAGATGAGTATATTGATAGTAGGCAAATAGACGAGTCGTTTATGGTTCAGCCGATGAGGAGGTCTTTCTCGATGGATTCGGGTAAGGATAGCCAGCTTTATTTAGCTGTTCAGGAAATAATACAGAGGCATAAGGAAGTAAATAGTAATTATAATGATGATGATGATGATGATGATGATGATGATGATGATGTAATAATTAGTCCAAACGAAGGGTGCAGCAGAATTAGAAGACCGTTTTTGATGTTTGGGCAAGGGAAGGGTTCTTCGAGAAGTGCAGTTCAGCCAGTTGAGTTAGATTAGATCTTCTTCTTCTTCTTCTTCTTCTTCTTCTTCTTCTTCTTCTTCTTCTTCTTCTTCTTCTTCTTTTTCAATATATATATTTGTTCTTATGATGTTTTTATTTATTTTGTCATTGATGTTTATAATAATAATTCATACCATAGTTACAGAAGTATAGGTGATAGATTTGTTTAGGGTTGGGGATAGGATGGTTGTTTTATAGTAGTGAAGAAAATTTCTGTTCTTTTGCACTCTGATGATGGCTTTAAGTTGTATTAGATTTTTGGATTTACATGATTTGCAATTTGCATTACAAAATGCAAGGCTTGTTTGTTTGATGGACTACGGAGTATCTAATTTTTTGACTTTTTAAAACCATTATTGCGCGCATCATTGCTTTACCAAGTTGTCTTTTGCCTTTTCTCCCCATTTTTCCATGTTTTTAATTAGAAATCTTGTTAGCTATGATTGAATGAAATCATGGCAGATTTTATTTATATTTTCCTGCCCAAATGTTTAAAGAGGGTGCATAGCTTGAAGAATCTGAAAGGGAAGTAGGGCAGCCAGCGGAGACGGTGTGGGGAAGGGAATAATGATGCCATTTCATATATATATATATATATTTTTTTTTTATTTTGTATGTATAATTTTCAATCAAATTTTACAATTATATAACAACCATTATACAATGATACTACTGGTACGCAGTTAATCCAATAGTTAATCACATAACACCTGAACTACCGACCGCAAATATGCATTTGTACTTTTTTATTATGATATTTTATTTTTTAATTCCAAATAGGTCCTTTATATATATTTTATATACAATGATATTTACTGATTTTATATATTAGTTTACTTACAAAATTAACTAACTGGTAGGTAATAGTCTTTCTTGTTTCACATTTTTCTGTTATAATACTTGGGTGTATTTAATTAGGATTTTTAAGGATTTTTTAAGACTTTAGAAATTTTGTTGTATTCAATTTAGATTTGTTAAGACTTTTTAAGACTTTTAAAAATTTTAGGGTATTCAATTGGGATTATAAAAAGTCGTACAAAATGCTGAGATATTTAATTTATTTGAAACTAGGATTTGTTAAGAATTTTTAAGATTTAGTGGGATTTTTAAACAAAAAATCTTATAAGAAATATCACTTCAAATCTTACCTCCAAACTTAAGATTTCATAGAATTCTTAAAAAAAACTAGAAATCTTAAAAAGTCATAAAATATCACTTAAAATCTCAATTGAATACACCCTTAGAGCAAGACAATCTAACATGTAGGCACATCAATTAAAAATATAGAATAGAACTAGTCATACTTTTTAATTTGGAAGATACAAGTACCATAAAAGTGATACTTAGGTCCTAATTGGATACATATTATCTTGTCAAAAGTGATTAGATAATTTTTTTAACTTAAAATATATTTTAAATATAACTCAATTCAAAATTCCTCAATATTATTAATATAAATAATAATATCAATCATAATCTTCACACATCACATCATCTTTAATTCAATATTCATTCACTCACATAATTTTAACTACACGTGACTTTCAATCACATTTCTTCTATGTTTACATTAAATAAATTTTAATCATTATATTCTAAATATTATTTTAATACAAACTCAAAATCTCACTTAAATCTAACACAATCATTTTTTTCAAAATTAACAGTAGGTATCCAACAAATCCAATCAAAACCAAAATGACTTATATCGAATCACTCCCTTAATAATTTCTTATTTAAAATTTTGATTTTCATTGGATTTATACTTATATTATATCTTATTTCCATGAGTTTAATATTGTAGGTTGTATATAATCAAAAATCATATAAAAATGTAGTGAACCCTAAAATATGGTTTTGAATGCTATAAACAAAAAGTAAGATTAAATAAAACTAAATAAAAGCTATCAACTTTTAGACAGCTTAGTTTATACTATGGTGTAGTGGAAGTGGTTGTTCGTGCCAAGTAGCGTGAAGCGTGGTTGGAGTATTTAGAGTGTTACCCAGTGATTTGAATACCATATCGTACCGATCGATAATATCGGATATCGGTCATTAGTACGGTACAATTACACACAAAATACTGAATTTACGATTATACCAGTTTGTATTGGGATCATACCGTAAATATCAAAAAATACTTGTCCAAAATACCGGTCAATAAAAAAAATATTAATATAAAAACAAAATATTTAAATTGGTAGTTAAAATATTTTATTTTTATCTCATTAAGAAGTTGAAATTAATGATTATGGTCATTTAATTTTTTACTTTTTTGCATTTGGTATTATATATTTTTATGTATATTTATATATATTATTATATTTGCTAGTCCGGTAATACCAGCGATATTACCAGTCCGACCGGTGATAGCGCGTACCCGTGGCTAGACCAGTATCACCACCTGTACGGTATTTAAAACACTGGTGTTAGCTCAGTTGGTTTAGTCCCTTATTTTGAGGGTGTTTTAATCTTCTTTGTTGAGAGTTTTTTTTTTTTTTTCCTTCTCTTTGTGGTTCGGGGGTATGAGCTCGAGTGTGACCTGTTTGTCCCATTTTTGTATCTTTATTTCATGTTTATTTTCTTTTTGTTTTTCCCCATTTGTAGGTTTTTCGTTGTTTATTTGGTCCATTTTGTTCGTTTTGTGTTTTTCTGTTTAGATTATATTTGTGTGTCTTTTTGCCGTGTTTTGCTTCGTGTTTTTCTTTGTTTTTGCGTTTTCAGGAGATAGGTTGTACCTGTCGAGTTGAGACTGCTTGAGCCGAGACCGCGATATTGAGAATTTCCGTGGTCGAGCCCAGAAGACGACGAAGAGGACTGAAAAACGGACAGAAACACGCCCCCAGAATTTCTCGCGACTCGCGGAAAAAACTGGGGCTTAAGAGGATTTCCGAAGAACGAGTCGCGACTTGCGAGTTATGTCGCGACCCAACCCCAGAAGTTTAACATTTTGACGACGCGCGACTCGCGACCGAGAGAAAGACCATCTCGCGACTCGCGACTTATCCGGCGCGAATTTCGAGGATGGAATTTTTAGAGCTGATTTCGATCATAGGGTTCATTATTCGACTTCTAGACTTAAATTTTACGTTTTTTCTCTCTAGAAACTCATTCCTTTTCATCATTTTGCACTTTTGATTTGTTTTGGAGATTGAAAAACTTCTATTTCTTGCTTTGGATTTGGATGCACTTGGATTTGACGTTGGATTCTTTATATTAATTGTAAGTTCTTTTTCTCAATTGCTTTGTTGATGATGATATTGACTTGGGTTTATATGAATGTTGATGTTAAAAATTCATTATGAGTAGCTAAATCCATTCGCTAGGGATAGGGGATGATTGATTAGGTTCAATAATGATTGAATGCTTTTGATTGTTCATGTCTATTCGAGTTGTGTGAATTATAGTGTTAGTAGATTGATCACCTTTCTAACCTAGATAATCAACGTGTAGAACCGAGAGGGGAGACGTTGGTCGAATTAAGCTCGTTTAGAATAGATTTGTTCGGAAACGTATTATCTATGTGTTGTTGGAATTGATAGTTGATCGTTTACATTTACTCTCTTTTTACGAAGAGTTATTGAGAGTGAACCTCTGAACGAGAAACGATTCAAGACCTTTAACCGAGCAATCGATTGCCGGTGATTGTGTTAGAACCGAAAGCAATTATCCCCGATTCTCTAGCACTTTAATCATTCAGTAAATTCATTTGCTATTTTACTTTCATTTTATTTAGTTTAAATCAATAGTTGATGATTGAAACTCAAAAACGTGAATTAGAGTGTTAGGAATTTTTCTTCTCTCTTTGTGATTGAATAAACGCACAAGAGTATTCGACTAACCTTCCTTGCGATACGACCCGGGAAACGAATCTTTCGATTCTACTGCGGTAAAAATACTGACAACAAAATTAGATTTGGAGATTGAAAACTCCTTTTGTGACCCGTTCTTGAGGTTTGTAATTCCTTCACGATGTGTGTAAGGAGGTTGGTTGGACCAATTGGTTCACAAGTGTACTTTTCTTTAAATTTTATTTATATATTTTATCGTTTGAAAAAAAAAATCGTTCAAAATTTAAAAATGAAATCAACCATTTTATTTATTTATTTATGTAATTATTTGGTAGAATTTCTATGCAAGAAAAGTCCTATTTGTCTTTAGTTTTGCTACATTATGATATATTAACCTATTGTTTGAAATCATTCATCGTTTTTGTCATCTTCCTTGATATAAATTATTTTCATATCTTTTGAACAATGACTCAATGTCGTTTATAAAAATTAATTTTTAATCGTCAATTGGAATTTAATCAGTTAATTAAGATATATTTTATGTTCATACTCTTTTGAATATTTCAATTGTCACATTTAGAAAGCATTATTACTTTTCGTATTTTATGAAACACTTATGTCTTAGAATTCTATAAATGTATACAAGCCAAATTATTCGCAACGAGCACTCGACGATCACGCACGCCACCCGCGCACGACCTTGGTGACAACACACATCCCCGACGACGACGTGCAACTTCCGACGACCGTCGAGCGCTCAGATGAGACATGTGGATGAGGCTTGAAAGACGAGGAGTGAAGATCTTTACAGAATCGTTCGTTTGGCCCCTTTAGACCATGTAAGTCTGCACAAAGCTTGTGAAATTTTAAGTCGCTAGCATTCTATCTTAACTCTAGTTCGCTGCGCTTTAGGCTTATTTTTGTAGATTAATCCTTGACTTTCACGATTACGATGTTCCTAATAGAACCCCAACATATAAAACTCATTGGGAAGCCTTATATAGAGTACTTCGTGTTGGAGTATACTGTGGAAGCTCGACGTTGTGATTACTCCTAATTCCATTTTGAATGAAATATGTGTTTTTAGTCAAGTGTATGTCAATAGTTTATTTATTTAGGCGAATATAGCTCTTTTATTTTACATTATAAATAGTAGGGTTCGATGTGTAGAACAAAAAGATCATATAATCGCTGCTTTGTAAAATATAAATATTTGTTCACAACCTAGACGAAATTGAACTAACTGTCGTGAAAGGTTGTAGTGTGATTTTGAATTAGTCGATCTTTGTCTAATGAATTATAATAGTAGATCTCGGATGCATTAGACGGACCAACGGAGGATAAAATTATTTTATACTGACCAAGTAAATAATCTAGACCTCACTAATTGTTGTGTTCTCTTAACTGTAAAACAATATGCGCATATGCACTAAGTACTTATTTATTTGATTTACCAAGGGTAACACCTATTAGGTCGACACACTCAGTAATTTGGTAAGTAATGTCGGGTGTATGATGTGCCATGGAAATTGTTTACGCTCAACGTGTCTCGGTCCACCGGGTTGATGATGTCTCCGAAATGAGCCCAAGAATGATTATTATGTCAAGCTTGGCCGACGGATTAATTTCTGACATAATAATAAAGAATTGAGTGGTACTAGTTTTGGATTCAAGAAGTTGATTAATTATATTGTCAGTAATTAAATTAATCAAGGGACGTTAACCTTCAACATGGAGAGGTAAGACCAGTAATTAATCGGGAGCGAATTGCTTGTAATTCGGAAATAAATAGGGAGTTCAGTAGTATTTTTAAATTGATATTTAATATTATTCCAGCATGAGCAGAGTGGGCTTGGCCCACAGTTAGGCCATACTTGGGAGCCCATATTTAGTATCTCTTTAGGGTTCATATTGTAGCCTATAAATACAATTCCCCTAGCCTCCTAATGAGTTCCAATGTGTGAAATAGCGTGAGAATATGTTTTTTGTCCTTGGAGAAATTGGCCAAAAACTGAGAGGTCTAAATAAGAGAGTCGTGAGGCTTTGAGAGATCCGATGAGTCGTCCACCACGTCGAATCAGAGCAGGTGATCGGTCATGCAGTATATACATCCTGGTGAATATATATGCTCTCGCGGAACCTCGGGCGACCACGAAACTTGGGGAGCATGACCACAAGATAAATATATCCACCGACCTGCCCAGAACCACCAGCCGCAGCCGTACGTGTCGGTGTTGGAGCCCCACGCGCCACCCGAGCACCTCATGCGCAAGACCGCACAGGCAAATAGCGCACACCATGCGCCCGTGCGCCTTAGCGCATGCACGACCACGCAACCTGCCCGCGCGTACCAGTGTCCCCGCATGAGGTCCTGGCATCCCAGCGCTTCCCGCACAAGATCCCCATGCCCCAGCACCTGTATGCCTCGCACGCATAGCGCGACCCGCATACGCAGGCAACCAAGGTCTCTCCGCAAGAGACCCTAGACAAGCAACATGGTGTCCTAGCGTGCCAGACCCGTGCAGTCTCGGCCTCCAGCAGCGCGCACCAGCGAGGTCCAGTGACCACCACCGAGGTCTTGTGACGGTTCAACAACTTTCTGACGACCCCGAGTGATGTCGATAGGTCAGCAACCATGGTGCGAAGCATAAGGTGATGTGAAATGCAACTCAGCAATGTTAGATGATCTCTATCAACAGAAATCAGAAACGTCTCAAAGTCGGCAAAAATATTAAATCATAAGTCATTATCCTAACAATAAATTCAGCTGCGTTGGGATTTATTTTTAATAGATTCGAATCTGCACATGGACGACGTTCCACATAGAACCCAACAACTGGTATCAGAGCTCAGTCTAATTTGTCTTTGTGCACAATTCTAATTAGGACTTGCATGACATATGTGAATTAATTGTATGGGTGCAACGCATAGTAGATTAAAATTGCAAATAAGTGTTGTTTATAGACATTCTTGGATCCGACTTCGTGGCCCGTTTGTGTGTTTTGATTCATGTATGTTTTGAAGCTTCCTGATGAATTTGAAGCTTAGAGCGATGGAAAGTTACATCAATGATTCTTTAGAAGTAGCGCCAGTAGAGTATCTCATGGAGGTGGCATGTAACGCCAATAATTTACTTAGATAGAGATGCTCACGTTATCCAACACAACCAAGTGCATGACTGCGGGGTCGACCACTACCTCAAACACTAGTTCTAGCCCACCCACGCAATTTACAACTCAAGAGGCGGTGGATTTCAACGGCCTAAAGATTCGACAGAGTTAGGCTGAAGGATGGGCTCCCGTCCAACAAGTGAGGTCGAGATTCCAATGAACTCCGAAATTTGTGGTGTTTGTCGTAGGTGGTGGTTAGCACTGTCGAAAATTGGTGGTGGTCGTCGTGAGGACAATAGTTAGGGTGCCAGAAATCGGTGGTATATGGTATGAATTTACCAAAATACTTTTATAAATTTCACTGTGCCAAAACCATAATTATATGAGTGATTGAAAAAAAAAATATGGTGAATTTGGTGAAAGTTGGGGCATAAAATGTTATTTAAAAATTAATTTTCCAAATATCTCCAAATTACCTTATCCGCATTGTCAACATCGGTTGAATTTTTTCAAAATTATCAACAAAAACGCTCATAAATTGATAGTTTCATCTGGAACTCAGGAAGGATACCTTTACTCGCTGCAAAAATGAAGATTATGGTAGCTGTTAAACGAGTCATCGACTACGCTGTCAAAATTCGGGTTAAACCCGACAAGGTAACAGGACTTCGAACGAGTAAATGAAAATATTAGAATTTCTTGAGAGAGCAAAAACGTCAAATTTTGAGGTGGTTTTGATTTGTTCTAGAGTGGCGTGGAGACCTCTAATGTGAAGATGTCGATGAACCCCTTTTGCGAGATCGCACTAGAAGAAGCCCTCCGGATCAAGGAGTCGGGCGGGGCCTCGGAGGTGGTGGCCGTGTCAGTGGGCCCGGCCCAGTGCGTCGACACTCTCCGGACCGGGCTAGCTATGGGCGCAGATCGGGCCATACACGTGGATTTCCCGGGCACCCTTTACCCGCTTTCGATAGCCAAGATTCTCAAAGCTCTTGTTGATGCTGAAAAACCTGGCCTTGTCCTTCTTGGGAAACAGGTAAAGCTTTGATCTTGTCAATGTTGCCTTTCTTGGTGAAAGACATTCTTTTTTTCTAATTATTTATATATGCTCATATATTATGTTTCTTTAACAAAATTTGATATTATTATCTTTGCATTATTGTTGAGATATAATTTGGGGAAGTATCTATGAATGATTTGAGTTCTATTGTGTTTTTGCGAAATGTGATTGAATGATTTCTGTTTTTTCTGTTTGAGGCTTACCTCAAGCTGGAAAATGCTGAAGATTGGACTTGTTTTACCCAACAAATGTGTGTATTTTGGATTTGTATTTGCTGTTTAACGTCTTAAGGTTGTGCAGTGGTGGTTCTACTCTCAAGTTCATTATGATTGGATGCTAATTTGAATGGCAGTTTGAGCAGTTAAAGAAAGCAGGAGACTTAATAGAATTGTATCATGGGTTCGCAATCCCCAAGTATGAAGTTGATCTTCTGTTTAAGAATAGTGTAATTTGATATCCGTGAGTATAATTCTTGCATATGGCATGTCCTATATCATAAGGCATCATTATCTTGTGGTTGCATTTGTTGATGAACTGAGTGAAAGTCACGCTTGATGCTGCAGAAGATAAGTTTCCGAGGTTTATACTTTGGATGACAAGAGCTTCAACTTATGAACTTAAACCACAATAAAACTAATATGATTGGTTTCATATCCTTAAATTCATATATATGCTATTAGGAGTTATTCTTGGATTTTTAAGTCTGTGGATTCGTTTTGATTTCTTCTCTGCATATGTGATCCAAATGCATCCTTAGTTTAACTGAAGCCCAATGAAGAATTTCGTTTCCACAACAATTATAGCGAAGCTATGATTTAGTCAGAATCTTGTCAAGCTGGCATTTAATCACGTATTACAGTATAGTATGCTTATTTTATGTAATTTATTTGCTTGGTTAACTGTCAAGACTTGCATGTTGTGTTCGATTTCTTTTACTTGTTCATATCCTCTTCTCCCTTTTTCTGTAGGCTATTGATGATGATTGCAACCAGACGGGCCAAATGATTGCTGGACTTCTTAAATGGCCGCAAGGGACCTTTGCATCCAAGGTTAGCTTCATCTTGCTCAAACTGTAATATGAAGTAGACATTTTAAAACAGTGAAAATGATGGTTAACTGTAATCAAATTAAAGGTTAATTTTCTCCATAACCCTATTCAAATATAACATTCTTGACCTGAAGATGTAATTCTGTTAGGAATACTGGGACTTGTTGTTTGTGATAGTTTTTTGGAACTCTTTTTCCTTCTTCCATGGGGTTCATATCAATTTATGCCGCTTATATACCAATTTTCGTGATTAATGAACTTTGACGACAAATTTTTTGTATATCTTATGATAGGTTGTACTGGATAAAGCAAATAATGTAGTGACAGTGGACAGAGAGGTTGATGGAGGTCTTGAGACGCTCTGCTTGGACTTGCCTGCAGTAATTACGTAAGCAAAGCAATCTAATCACCTTTTTTCCTTATTTATGCTAATTTTTCATCTCTTAGCTGGCTTATTAGACTTGTCTATGTTAACTAAAGTTTTTCCCTAACCCTTTTCTTTTCACTTTCTTACATTACAACGTCACTTACATGTTGTCGCTTATTAGTCCCTCCTTTCAGGCTTGCACAAATTAATCTGTCCAAATATAAGTGATGTTTTAGATTTAAC